CGGCTGTCTGGTAGTGCCTGGAGGGCAGGGCAGGACACTTCCCTTTCCCCCCTGGAAGTGGGCAGCAGCCTCTGATGCCTCCCCAGCTCCCGGGAGGCCTGAGGAGGGGGTCTCTGGCCCCCCGTAGCGATCTGCACACTGCTGGCTCTGCATCAGTGGAGGGCTTTGGGCAGCTGCAGGGATTGAAACTGCTGTCCTACTGAGCACACCCACGTAGTGAAACTGGGGTGAGGCAGTATTCGTAACTGACTGAGAAATTAAGCTAATACCCACTTCGCCATTACCTTTAAACTTTATTAACCAGGCAAGTTGCCATAAGTTCTGATTCTGGTAGACTGGAGGACAATTATTTTAAATCTTGTGATTTGTTTCAGAGAGCAATACAGAGAGAGGGTGTGCAGATGGTCAGCCCGTGGTGATCCTCCTAGGTTGGGCAGGCTGCCAGGACAAATACCTGGCCAAATACAGTGCTATTTACAGTCAGAAGGTGAGTAGCTTATTTATGTTTTCATGACACTGTCATACAGCTCTCTGAGAGACTGCCTCTTTTCTGCATGGTGGTAAAGTCGCTCTAAAGCTTCTCTCAGTCTGAAGAGTCACTGGGAGTGAGCAGCAAGTTCTTTTGTCATTGAAAGCTCCTTGTCTCTTGGAGCCCAGGCAGTGTTATCTAGCAGTTGCTGATGTCATCTTTGTGTGTGCAGCTGAGACAAGAATACTTCCTTGGAGAGGCTTTTTGCTGTTGTGTGAATCACTGGAGTATTTTAAGGCTTTTAAAGTTCTGAAATTATTCAGGAATGACATGAACTGTGTTAGCTTTCCAAACAGGTAAACATGCAGGGAAAGATTATGCGTTTACTGCTTGCTGATAGGCCACAGCACAGACTTGGCAAGGCCAGGCTGAGGACTGACAGAGCACGTCAGCATCTGTCATCCCTTCGGCTTTTCCTTGCTGTGAAGATGATTCACCTAAATACTGTAATCCAAATTAATTTTATCCTGTCTGTGAAACAGGCATCCTGTGATAATCATACCTGCTCACTAGGAATTCCTTGTGTTTGAACTAGAGAGGTCTGTCCGATTGCTAGTTCCCTAAGTTATAATACTGTATTTTACTGGAATGACCCCAGCTTGTAGTATGGGGACCCAGTGAAACATTAGACTTTTTTTGTGGTCAGCAGACAAGGATCTTGTGTTTATCCAAATCTGTTTCAGCTATAGGTGGCAAAGTTTGTATGTTAACAAGTCTATTGTTAATGTGTTATCCAGTGCAAGAGTCACGAATTGGCTTGTTCTAGTAAGAATTAATTGTTAAGTGACTGTTGTGACTAAGATGCTGCTGAGCCAATGAGGAACACATTATGCGATAGCATGCCAACTTTTTTGAAAATACTTTTCTATCAGAAAGATGATAGGAATGGGTAAGGAGAGAAAGGGTTTTCTTAGCTCCCTAATGAGGAGTGGCTGCAGCCATGGCAAGATGGTATAGAAGACTTTGATTTAAGAACTTGACACCCTCTTCTTCCTCATTTGCTGTTTAGGGAGCTCTCGGTGGGAGGGCTATCTTGGTGGCTTTGCCTTGTGTTTGTCAGTGTGTAATGTCAGTGAGTTTGGGTGATAGAAAAGATGTAAAGCATTTATAAGTGTAGTTCTATCTGCTCTATTCAGAAACTCCTCCAAGACCCTGTTTCCCAATCTACACCTAAATGTAAGGCCTTACCTGTAAAGGCGATTGCTCAGGCGTTCTGAATCTCTGAACCAGTGCTCTTGATTTGCACAGCTGGAGCGTTTCAGAAAGGCTTATGAAAATCATGTCAGTGTTGATTGTGGGTGAGTCTTAGAGACAGCTGCAAACAAGTACTACCCAAGGACAGGAAGAAGTTCCTTCTCCTTCTTACGTTTGTTTCAATGTCATGAACGAGATGTGTACCAGCGCAGGCCCTTCTTGCTGAAATGGCTGATACTGAAGGTTTGTGAATCGCGGAGGTTGTTTTCTCTTCCCAGATGAAGACTAACACCCATAAAAGCTTGGGTGGCGATGTCCCCACAGCAGACAGCAGTTTCATAACACTGTGTGCTGTTATGATTAATATAATCCTATTCATGTTGGTGCCTTGCTACTGACGCTAAAGGCTTTCTTCTGGCCCTGTGGTTTCTGTTGGAAACCTGTCCCAAATTTTCATGTTCTTTTTACCGATGCTTGCCTACTCCATGTAATGTGCAGCGCAGCCTAAATGTGTGTGGGGTCTCTTTCTGTTCTTAGGGGTGCACCGTCATCCGCTACACAGCTCCATGGAGGATGATATTCTTCTCCGAGGTCTCTGGCATCAGATCCCTGCAGACCCCAGCCAGGCGACTCCTGGAGCTGCTCTTTGACTACAGCATTGAAAACAGACCGGTTCTTTTTCATGTTTTTAGCAATGGTGGTGCCATGCTGTACCGTTACATTGTTGAGGCACTCCACACTCACAAGCCATTTAAGAACCTCAAAGTAGCAGGCACCATTTTTGATAGTGCCCCTGGCAGAAGAAACGTGAGAGGAGGCCTTCGTGCTTTGGCAACTGTCTTGGTACCCATGAATGTGGTGCTCAAGTATTTCCTCTTATTCGCTTTTGCTACTACAGCTGTCGTGCTGCGGATCTTGCTGTACCCATTGACCCGCCTCATCCACGAGAGCCATTACGATGTCCTACTGAAAGCGCCCTCGCGGTGGCCTGAACTTTACCTCTATTCCCAAGCTGATGCCATCATCAAGGCCAGCGAAGTTAAGTGCATGGCTGATGCCCGGCAGCAGCTCGGTGTCTCCGTGAAAGCTGTAGACTTCTCAGATTCGGCTCACGTCAACCATATGCGGGTGTATCCCACCTATTACAGCAACCTCTGTACGACTTTCCTGTCTGACTGTGTCAGGGGCTTGCCTCGTTAGTGGTGTAATGACCTCCAGTGTTTACCTCTGCTTTGCTCAGCTTGTGTGGGAAATGTCACCCCCTTTGCCTTTGTGTCTTTGAAGGGAGGGAAGTAGAGACTACTTAGCTGCTTCCCACCCACCACCACCATCTACAAGTCTGAAAGCCTCCAGAAAGGAGGCTTTATTATATTATAGAAGAAAGTGGATACCGATTAATTTAAAGTACTGAAGGTGAAATCCTAGCATGGTTGAAGTTGATGTGATTTACCAAGGCGTCACAGACCAGAATTTCACATGGAGTGTTATTTGTTTCTTCCTGTCTCATGTTCTCTGCTTTCCATGTTGTCTCCTTGTCCCTGATGTCCAATGTGCATGTTCTGTTGCTTTGTACTGATTTTACAATATAGCTCTTCAATGCCTTTGTTGTTTTTTTCCTCTCTGCCATTTCTTTTATCTTGCAGTGAGCAAACGGAAGCAGCTCTGCAGGACTTCTCTTGGTGCATCCCAGCTCTTGTTATACTCCCTGCTGGAGATCAGGCCCAGAAGCCAAGTGTAAGACCTGGAAAAGGCTTGTGCAGGGCAGCATGTCCAGACTGTCATCTGGTTCCATTAAATAGCTGAGATAGATGGAGCAGTCAAAGCTCTGATCATTGGTGGGAGCTCAAATATTTGTGATAACTTTTGTGTTCTTCAACCAAAAGATTTAAGTTAACATTTTTTAATGTCTTGTGTTTTGTTTTTCTTCCTTCCAGTCTTTTCTGTGTTCTCCCGAGCAGTTTTGCTTTCTTTGAGAACTGCTCGTTTGTTATTCTGTGTCTTTGAGCGGCCTATATTGTGCATCTGGAAATGCGGGGAAACTGGCACAGCTGTAACCCAAAAGACCTCAGAAATAGAAAGGTGGAACTGCAGAGAAAAATGAAACTGTCTCTTGGAGCTATGATTTATACTGGGTGTTTCTTAAATCACTTCCAGCCCACAAATGACCATGAAATGCGATGTTTTTCCCCATAACGTTCTCTTCGGATGATCAGTCTTTGCTGACCGTGCAGCGTGTAGTAGTAATACAAAAAAATAATTCCTTCCACCTAGTGAAAACATAGCTCATTGCACTGCAGTTCAGCCATGTTTGATTCTGGGTTTTGTTTTTTATTTTGGGGAGAAGCGGGTATAAAGAGAGAGGAGAGCCTGCTACTAACATGTTTATGCCATGTCACAGCATCGCAAGGTAATTAATAATGTGGTGGACAGGATTAGCTGACTCTAAATTCCTAGTCAAAGGTTGGTGGGAACAGGCTCCGGAGTGCTATGGGCCTGTTGGAACAAGGGGCTGCCCTCGAGAAGTAGGAACATAAAAAGCATGAGGTTTTTTACAGATGTTTGCTGCCTGTGGGCTGCTGTGCTTGTCTTGCTCAGCCTTGGGATGCTGTCATCCACAATTACAAAGCACTTGCTGTTCTGAATCGAAACGCAGAGAGGGAGGTTTCTTGGGAAGCACTAAAATAATTTGGAAGTTTAAACTGAGAACCATAACACCTCACAGAAGTGAAAGCACAGGGTGAGTTGTGGTCAGAGGCCAGCACAAATGTTTTTAGCAGGCTAGCATGGCAACGCTTATTTAAAGCAAAGAATAACCCCATGTCAGGCATGGTTTTAAAGGGTGGACTGGGGTGTATAGGAAAGGTGAGAATTTAACTGAAAAGGGGCTGATGACCTGGTTTGTCTCCAATTTTTTTAAGACGAAAACTGGCTCCAGGCACAGGAGCCCTTGTTGCTCGGGGTCCAGTCTTCTGATCCCAGGTGTGATCCCAGTTTCAGCTTCCCCAGTGAAGATGAGCTGTGAGGGCTGCCCTGTGGTAAGACAGCCTTCAGCCTGCTGCTTTCAGGAAGAAATTCTTATTCCTAGGGTTTGGACTGGTGAAATCCAGGCATGGTCCCCTATCCCCAGAAGGCCCATCAGAGATCTCCCAGCTTTTTAAAGCAGGCCCCTGGTTTGTGCTGTCAGTGCCGTAACTCCTGAGCTGTGATCTGTTTGCCTGCCTTCCTAGAGAGCTGGGCTGTGGCTTCTGAGCATCCAGCCTGTTTGTGGCACTGTGAAAACTCTTAAGGAGCAGAGGTGGTAAAGGTTATTTAACTAGCACTTGCCCTCATGCTGGTTTCTATGGGTTCAGTATTTACAGAACAGTTAAACACTCCGTAATATACACCTCTGAATTAGTACAGTTGTGCTGGGCTGGGAATCTGCTGTTCCTGTTTATTGCCGTGGGCGTTGAACTTCTATTTAAGGACTTGGGCTGTTGTGGAGCATGGCTGGCAGGAGCTGGAGCTAAACCCTCTGTCCCTGTGCAATGGGATGGCGAAGCTCCCTCTGGGAAGCTACACCTTCCACCCCACCTTCACCTCCCCACCGTGGGATTGCTGCTCCCCCAACTCAGTCCAGCTCTGCTCCACCTCCCCGCTTGCCAGGGAAGCAGGCAGGGAGCGGGTGCTGCCTCCGGGCGCTCCGCAGTCAGAGGTGCCCTGTGCTACACAGATGGGAAGCAGCTCACAGGCATTTCCACTGCTGCAAAACTGACTTGAAATTCAGGGCTAATTCATGTACGCACCTCTCTAAGAGCACGGGGGATCTCAAGCAAGCTAGTGATTTACAGAGGAAGTCAGTGCCAAGCTGGGTGGGTTTGTTTTCCGTGTCCCAGCAACTTTTAATGATGATTATGAGCAGTGTGTTAAATGTATTATGTGATATATTGCACTCTTCTTTCCTGTACAGCATGTATGCTCGCCCTCCCCGCTTTCTGCTCTCTTTATTTCTGTTGCTTGTTATTTGAAACAGAAGGTTAATAACTTGGAGCCTGAAGGCACAGAATGGATCCAAGTGCTACCGGATTTAAAAAAACCCAGCCTCAAACCCTTAATCCTTGCTAAACTGTCACAGTTTGGTGCAGCCTGTGTTTCTGAAGAACTTCAGTCTGCACACCAAAAGAAGCCAAAGGTTGGGATATCTTGGCAAATCCAAGTAAATCTCTGAGATGAGCTATGGGAGGAAACATGCAGTGTCCCTGGGCTTGCCTGGTGGGGAGGGAGCGGAATGTGGCCTGGGTGATCTCTGCCTGGGGAGCCCGGAGCTCGTTTTTCTGCAGTCCAGCCCTTGTGTGCAGATGGCGGAGCAGCGTGGGCGAAACACCAGCGACGGTGGGAGAGGAGGATGCCCTGGGGCCAGCTGCTGCCATTGCACATTTCCCAGCTTGGTTCATTTTGCAAGAGCGCAAATTAACCTTTTCTCAGCAACAAAAGCCATTTGTGAGTGTTTCCTGTGAGGGAGCTGGCTGCCAGCTCGCTCCCCTTGTGCTGCCTTCTCTCCTCAGGTAGCGGTGATGTTACAGGAAGGTTTTGAAAAAAAGCCGCTTAGTTAGGGCTCAGGGTGGTCGTGTGCCTGGGCTGGAGGGTGCTTAGCTGCTGCTGGCGGGCGGTGGGAGGGTGCCCGTGCAGCCGGGGTGCCTCTGCAGCGCTGGGGGAGACCTGGGCAGACCAGGGGCATGATCCAGCCCAGCCAGGGGCTGTGTTTTGGAGCAGGGGGGAGCATCTTACAGTGCCAGTAATTCAAACGAAGTCCCCGGGCAAAGACTGACCTGTGCCCACACCTAATAAAGGTGTTGTAAAAGTCTGCTGTTGCCTTTTGTGTGTTGGGGCAGCAAATTGTGTATGGGCTGAGGCCCCATCTTTGTACGTGTTGGGAAGGCGCAGGCTTACGTGTGAAGCTGTGCCACCGATGGAAAAGCAAGCGTGGACCGCTGGAAATGGAAACGAGCAACCCAACGCCATGTTCTGCTTCCTAGAAAGAGAAGGGGGGAGGCGTGAGGCTGGGCTCCATGGCTCCATGGCCCCATGGAGGGGGTGGAGGAGGGAGCCGGCCCGGGGCGGCTGTGCCAACCTCCCTGACCACGGCAGCGGCGTGGGATGCTCCGTCCCGGGAGGGAGCTGCATTCCACGAGGTGGCAGCAGGCCCCCTCTTTCCCGCGTGGAGAGGTTTCTGGTTTAGGAGACAAGCAGAACAGATGCTGGAGAAGACCCCAACCATGCAGCTCAGCCCCGCGCTTCTGCGTGCCTGAGAGCATCTCCTGCAAAAAGCCCCCTCTCGAGGCAAGGAAAAAGACCAGCAAGAACAAACTCCAGTGCCAAGAAGCAGAGATCGTGAGTTAATGTGGAACAGCATTTAGCCCTAGAGCTGCCTGCCCCGGGAAGTCGTAGTAGATCCTATTTCTCAGTTTTAACTGAACACTGAAACTGAAAGTCGAGTAGCTTTACCACCCTTCCCGCGTCGGCAGGCCAGGTTGCACCACTTCCCTCTCCGTCACCCGGAGAGGGCTGTCTATTTTTTAAGCAAATCTGTGTAATATTGTGTTTAGACAGACCATGGTCCAACTTCTTGGGGCTTGGTGCCAGGCCTTCCTGAAAACCCTGGTGAATTGGGACTGTGGAGCTCCCTTGGGGTCCCCGTAGCCCCCTGACCTGCTTTCCTACTTTCTGAAAAAGCTGGCGGGACCCCCTGGCACATGGGGCTGGGGGCTTGAGGGGCAGTTAGGAAACAGGGTAGCACAACTGGGGGCCACAGCCTCTACCTGAACCCCCCAATGCACCCCCAGCACACCCTGCACACAGGTCCCGCACCCTGCCGGGGGGATGGGCAAGGGAGATGGGGGCTCCCAGGGCAGCTGCTCGCTCTGCCTGCCCGGCATCCCCTCGTCCCCTTCCCTTTGAACTTGAGCCCCCATCCCCTCGTCTCCGCATCCTCACATGGCTGCATACCCACCCCAGCACCGCCAGCCAGAGATGAGCCCCCCAGGCACGGTGGAGGTGGGCAGAGGGATGCACGGCACCCTTCGGTCACCCTCCAAAACCCATGGGGGCTGGGGCAGGGAGAGCTTGGGCAGCCCCTGCCCTCCCCGGGTGATGAATGAGCTGACAATAGGGTATTGATAAGGAATT